ACAGAGCAGAAAGCCCCAAACACAGCTGGCAGAAAGCAAAAGGTTGTGACTCCTGGAAATGTGTGAAAAAAGTCTTACCAGCACAGCACGGATCTGAAAGGAAAGAGGGGAGAGAAAGAACACCAAAGCGACCAAACCTTTAAAAGCACTGATGTTCATTTACTTAGAATAAAATTAGAAGTACATTAGTCAGAACAGATGCTCTCCTGCGGAATGGGACTCAGATGAAGCAGCTTTCAGGAGCATAAATCTGACTTTTTACTTTAATTTCATGGCTCTTTGCAGCAGTCACATGGGCAGATGTATGAGTCTCCTGTTTGCAGTATACCTACCACCATGCCTGCAGGATGACTTAATAGTTCAGAGGGACAGAAAGATGACCTCACACTGTTATGCTTGATTACGTGCTCTCTCTTGGCCTTTCCCGTGAGTATGTCTCCGCACTTCCCTGCAGGAATAACATGTAGACCTTGACCGGTCATTGAGACAGTGCTGACATATGACACAATCACAGTATGCCTTACCTCAGAGGAAGTCCAAATCATGAAGAGTGAGGAATATTGTACACACTTTATTTAAAAACTATACTGCTAGAGCTCTGGCAGAGTATTTAGATTTATTTTGGGGACCTTTTGTTAGCTGCAGGATTGTTAAAAGAATACTTCACCCACAAAATGACCATTTGTTTATAATTACTCAGGTTGAATTTGTGAAGAAAACGTTGTGTTTTTCTCATGTGTCCCCACGGTGAACGAAGAAGCTAAAAAGACAGAAAATTTTTACACAACTAGAACAGTATAATCCAAGTCTCATTTATCCAGTTGTTTGCTCAGTACTTCCCAAACACATGCATTTTCTCAACAAACTTAAGACTTAAAACACATACTGCATGAGTAGTGAGCATGTGCATTTTAACTCTGGGTGTGCATTCCCTTTAGCAACTTAACCGAGCGTGAGACTGTTTATGTGAAAGTGTTTTAAATTGTTACATTTAAGCAAAAATGCCGACCCGGTCTCACTCCGAAGTTGTCGAAAACCACTGCTTGGTCAGCGACTTCTGGCGTCACACACTGACGAAAAAAGCCATCCTTTTACGTCAGCATGATACGTGGTACACAATATTTAATGTTGCTGGCGGCATTAGGAGGAAACATGGTGGAATAACAAGTCCAAGTACCCAGCCAACATTTGTACGTGGGGCCCATGTGGCTAGTAATTGGGCCGAAAAATGGGCCCTATATGGGATTATCCACAGCTTCCATATTGGCCCTATGACATTTGCCTGCATGGGTGGGTTTAACCAGGTGGGCACTACATAAGATACCCAATTCAGACCCATACCCACTTTGTACTCAGGTAGCCCCAGCATGTCCCACGTGAGGCCCACTTGGGCAAACCCACCCATGTGGGCAATTGGCATGGAGCCATTATCGAACATGTGGACAATCCAATATAGGGCCCATTTTTCAGGACCGCACATACAAATGTTGGCTGGGTAGGGATGGTGGGACTGGTGGTGGATTGGTCCAACAACTTTTACCTGGGAGACTGGTGTTTGCTTCCCATTTGAATGAAACCAAAACCAGTTCTTTTTTCCTAAATCCAGCCACATGCATGTGTCGGCTAAACGTAACTGTGTGCATTTGTTGTCACAGGAAAAATGTCATGTCGTGGTGTACCGAGGTAGTGTGTTTATTTAGAAAGAGACTGTATGCAAACTGTACTTTTCTACATGCACAAGTGTATTTTGAAAACAGACAGTGCATGTAATATGCAAAAATAGACATGACATCCTAGAACATCGACAACCAACGCACCCAGGGTACCTTGCACGTCACATCTCAACTTGGAAAATCCATGAACAAAATTCTATGTGATGAGGTCGGAGTGAGAATGTGTTGAAAATGCTTGTGTTTGGGAAGTACTAAGCATACGACTGGATAAATGTGACTTGGATTATACTGCATGAGTTGTGTGTGAGTTTGTAAACTGATGTTGGGATATTGTTTTGCTGTTTTTAATGCAGGATTCACAGTTACTGATTGCAAACACACTCACCAGTAAAAGTGAAAGTAAGGGTGGTTGTAAGACCTATTTGTCTTGCTTTGGTCCGAATCAGGGACTCAGTCAGTACATTTACATGCACAGTTTAATTCCACTTTTAATCGGAATGAAAGGCCATTCCGATTAAAAGTGGTCATGTAAACGGTCATTCCGATTGAAAAACGGATCCGATTAAAGGGGGTGGTTTATTCCGTTTGTCATTCCGAATGAAAGAATTTTGTGTGCATGTATACACTCATTCCTCTTTAAATTCATTCCGGTCTTTCTGCGCATGCTCGTTTCCTTGCCCTTCTGGCGCGATGACGTATATAGCGCGCATAGCAACGGGCTGCATAGCAACAGGCTGAGATAGAGCAGTCGGACTTGTTGCACTCACCGGTTTCCATTCGCCACAGCACGGTCTTCTGTCTCCCTTCTTCGACCTTCTACCTCCCTTCTCCTCCTCAACAGATGAAGCATTAGCAGAACAAGGTTGTTGTCGTACTGCTGCTTCAAGAATAAGCAAAACACGCCCGAATAAGGCACTAAGAACAGCGTCGTCAAGCATCTTGTTATCCGGAGCGAGGACTATACAGTGTTTTCTTCCGGTAAACGTAAACACGTAACATCCGCCCCGCCCCCTATCCAATCAGAAACCTTCCCTGCCCCAAACCTTGCGCAGACCTGAATAAAGGCGATTGAACTGATCTCCCATGTAAACCCTCATTCAGAATGAATATTTCCCATGTAAACTACCTGGAAAGACTTTAATTCCGAATGATTTCATTCAGATTTATTTCATTCCGAATGAGAAGCTATCATGTAACCGTAGCCACTGTGTTACAAAGTTGTATAATTGCCTAGAGTTGGTTTGTGTTCTCACGGCAGCATTTACAAGCAGACCAGATCAAATGCCTTGTGTGAGAAAGCTGCTCTTGATTGGTCAGATTTCCATGTGCGAAAAATCCAGGAAGTAAACAAAACGTTGAAGAAGAGTACACTTGCAAGATAAATGTCACACTTTCTAATGTCACAATGGAGGGACAACTACGCAGGTTGATTTTAGTGCTGGTCATTGTGGACTATATTGCTGTCATTGTTCATTTTAGTCAAACCATACAGTCTGAAAATGAGGCGCGGCTCCAAACAATGTTTGGAATGCATGTTTAACCCAAACAATGCATAATGCGATTGCAGTTGGTTCGGATCGAGGTTGGAACACGTTCTCATCACAAACGAACCGCACCAGAGTTCGTTTGTAACCGGACTGAGACCACCTCTTCAAGAAGGTCTTGATCTGGTTGTTCTGGTGTGAACCCGAGTGCAATTGCTGTGTTCACACCTGCCCGAACGAACTGCACTTAGGGGGCAAACAAACTTTCATTTTATTGAACCGAACCAGACAAGGCAGGTGTGAAAGGACCCCAGATTCACTCTCATTTGGTGTTTCACCAAAAACACACCTTGCGTAGAGTATCTTTAAACACAGTACCCCTTCACTTCAGTTAATCAAGTATAATAGCTGCTTTTGGATTCTTTGTTCACTGTGGGAGCATGAGAGAAAAAGAGTTTTCTTTCATGCTTCATGATTCATGAAGTTTTCTCCACAAGTTCAACTTAACTAACACATGGTGAGTGATCGATATAGAAATTTTCTGGGTGAAGTATTCCTTTAAACAAAGTGATTATCCTTTTTAGACAAAAATACAGCTTGTAGAATAGTAAAATGTATGCTTTTCATTACTTTATTCAAGATACTATTGGTAAAAAAAGATAAGAAATTACAAAAAACTAACAAAGTGCAATATTTTTGGTCATGTTAAGTAAAGGCTTTACCCCTCCACCTGAACATGTACTCCAACTGTAAATGAATTATAAGACGCGTAATTCACTTATCAATGTCCGTGACCCAGAACATCAAATTCAAGCTTCAGGATATCCTGGAAATCAATTATACTGCACTTCACACAATGACTATACGAGAGGAAACATCCTCTCTGCTAAATAAAATCTATGAATAAATTATTAACTCAGTTGCAAACCTCGACTCCCCACCGCGTTGCACTCCATCAGTCACGCTGTTGTTGTTGAAAGACTGCAAGCTTCTTCACTTCTAAACATTTTTGTGCCGTTCATCTTCAGTAGCTTTAAATGATGCTGCATGTGAGCTGCGAAAAGGATCTTTAGCGTACCAAATGCATGCTCTATTTTGGATTTGAAACACTAAATTTTGTTTACCCTCATTTGTCTTGGGCTGCAACAGCCACCTGAGCAACTGGGTGTCTATGAGCAGAAGCCAAACACACACTTTCTTTTTATTACCAGCTAATTAGTGTGGTTAATCAGGCTGATAATGAGCCTGGGCGCCGTGCCATTTCAATCTGACATCAGGCCAAGGTTCAGATCCCCACCAAGAGACACCTCGGGCGTCCGAGATCTCCCTGAAGACCGGTCTTCCCAGACACGAGAGGAGAGAGGGCTGACAAGGGCAGCAGTGATGAGTGGTGTTTGTTTTGATGATAACAGGAGGACATAAATCCAACACGTTTATGGCTGCAGGAGTAATAAAAACAGCTAAAAGAGGTTTAGAAACTCTGCGTTACTGGATTATCTGTCCGCAGAGCACTTTAAGAACATGTTTGTCTTATCTTTCTGCAAGCTTTCCAGATTTTTCTGCCCTTTCCTCTCAGCAGCTGGGGACACTCCACGGGGAGAAAAAGGAAATTGATGCTCACTGTAACACATCCTGTTGACCCCTCAGATATACACATATCAAACCCCACCTCAACCCCTCATAACCCACACATCCCCAACATCTTATCACAGTGCTTAAATCGAAAACAATCCAGTACTATCACCTCCCTTCTGCCTCCTCTCTCCTTCCAACCCTCCCTCCCTCCCTCCGTCTCTTCTCTCCCTCTCTCTCCGCTGCCTCACTCATTCCCTGAGCAGCACACTGAACTGGATAACGTCTCCTTCAACCTGCAGTACAGTCTCATTTCTCTACACACCAGCTCTGAGTGGATGCTCAGCAGGGGTGTTTGAGATATTAGCCCGCTGTGGGGGGAAACGGCTCAGGGACTTCTACCATCCACACACAAAGGTAAGCCTCTGAATCTTTTAGATTAGATTCCTGTTTGCTGTCAAGTACCAAAGTGAAGGTGATTAAAGTTAACCGCCTGAAACTGCAGCCCTTTAGGTATCATGTCAGATTCTCAGCAGTCCCAGGACACATTACTAAGACTTTGAGCTGCTGAGACATTTTTTATGCCGCTGTCATTATTCTAGACTTGAAGGTCAGTGGCAAAGCGAATAACACTGAACTGGGGAAAGTGTGCTGGCAGTCTGACCCTTCGAGTTAATCCTCGCTTTGTTTGGAGCAGTAAGTTTAGAGAAGAACAGTACCAGTTACTGAATGTAATCTTAATGTGCTTAAAACAAGCAGAACTGAAAACAGATTAGACTCACTTTCAGAGAAAGGATTTTTTTATTTAATTTTGACACAGTGAACCTCTGACCTGTTAGATTACACCACGTCACTGGTTTGTTAACACTTTGTTTCGTCCATCATATGAAATGCTTTCCTACTCACATGTCTTTTTGGGGCTGGAGACATATTCAGAAAATTTTATTTGAGGTTACTCTTATCTCAGTACATAAACAAACACACTTTTAACACTGAATCTTGAAGCTGGACTGAATCATCACTGAATCAGGAGCTTTTTTCATTGATGCTTCTCTCACTGGTGACAGAGAGTTAGATTGTGTTTTCTCTATAAATCTGTCCCCACCTGTGTGCACACGTGTGGAAATCAAAAGCGATTTAGCCTGCGTTCTCATGGCATTCTACTGATTTTGGCACCCTGAGTTAGGTCCCCTTTCTCCTGAAAGAATCCTTAGTGTTGATAAAGTCAGTTTTAAAGATCATTTTAGAAAAAATCTCCCCGTTTATGCATTTTAACTGCAGCATTAGTTGTCTTAGTCTGTTAATGTCGCTTGTATTAATTGTTAACAATGTTTTGGTGCTGCCCTCTCGGCCAGACCCCTAGCTGGGCAGACACATCATCTGCAGAGGCCTCACTGTGGTGCACGAGCATAAAGCTGGAGGATGTAGTGTAGAGCTGCAGCTGGTGGAAGAGAAGCAGATTTTCTCCGTCACTGCAGCTTCTCATTCTGCTGCCGGTTGTCTGTCTTAGTTGATAAAAATGCAAATACACTGACAGTTACCTTGCACTCACAGCAATGAGCAGCAGTGATGTGTTGGGTTTTTTTCTGTTGGCCCTGGGTTTTGTTTGTCAGGCTACACAGAGGCTGTCCTAACCATCTGGTTGGTGGATCTTGCAGGACAATCTGCAATCTGCTACCCAGGGTGAGAAACAGTACTTCCAACCAATATTGGTTTGTGAATACCTTATTAATGTTTCAGAACAAAGTGACAAAGATCTTTACAGAAACATTAGATAAAAATAGTCAGGTAAAATAACCAAATATCACAACATAAAAGATTAAAGCGCAGAACATCACCAGATAAAAAAGGCAGTAAGGGGTGAACAGGAAAAACTACTTTCAGTCTATAATTCTTTGTATTCAACATGTGTTGTCTTAGGTCTTCTTCAACTAAACTAAACTTGAAATTAAAGATATACTCTGCAGGAAAACAATGTAGAGAGTCATACAAATCATCACTTATGACCCACTAGGAGTGTGTGGCGGTGTATTCATCCCCAGAGACTGCCTTCTACCTCGTTTGTATTATTTTCTTCTAATTTTCTGTGTTCAGGACGTTTATGGGCGTGTACCCCCGCAGCACTCAGGTGAGGTTTTGGCTTTATGAAAAGGTAGCAACCAGGTCAAAGTGCCAAAAAAAACAAAAATATAGCAAGAATGAATCTGTGGTTGGCTTTTACTTTCGCTGGTGAACGTGTCTACAAACAGAAACCAACCGTCCTGCGCAGTTCACCTTTAAGTGTATTAATTTCTTAGACTAACATTATTGAACAGGTATGGAGACCAATGTCATAGTTATAGTACAAATAAATGCAAAAAATAACTTCAACAGTTTTGGTCATAATAACAAAAACATTTAGTCATATTTTAGCCTGTGATTAGGTGGAGCAAACAAAAGCACCTTTGGCTGGAGTAAGGAAAAGATCACAGCGATCATGTTGTGATTCAAGTCACTGCACAAGTCAGTTGCTCTTCTTGCAGTTTCTACCCTTTTTTCCTGATAAAGGTCTTTGGGGGGGGGGGGTCTTTATCTGCTGTGAGGGTTTTCGGACAGAGGGATGTCATATGTTGTAAAGCCCTCTGACACAAAATGTGATTTGTGATATTGGGCTGTATAAAAAAAAAAATTTTAAAAAATCCCTGAATTTTCTGTATTAAACCAAGACCATGATCTTTCCCGAACGTTAATGAAGTGCTACAAGTGCCTAAACATGAACATAAAACAGTTTAATAATGCTGTAGTCACTACAAGTAGATATTGTATTGCAAAATCTAATATTCAAGCAGAAAACAAATCAAATGCATTGTCAATGAACATTTTGCAGATGCGTTAAGTGTCAGCATCTTTTACTCGAGCTAATGTGTCTAGAAATGTGTTTCAAATGCTTCAAACTGTTTGCTGACATGTTTTTACATTTACTAAGGGCTGATAAGATCGTAAAGCCAATTCACCAGTACTTTAAGGGGACAGTTAACCCCCAGTTAAAAAAATGCATATTTTTCCGCATACCTGTAGTGCTGTTTATCAGTCTAGATTGTTTTGGTGTGAGTTGCCGAGTGTTGGAGATATCGGCCGTAGAGACGTCTGCCTTCTTGTGCATTTAATGGGACTTGATGGCACTCGGCTTGTGGTGCTCAAAGTTCTACAAAAATACATTTCAAAAACTCAACATCAGTGTCTCTTTCAAGAAATCATGACCCAGTACTCAAGATAATCCACAGACCTTGGTGTGAACCATTTCATGCTGGTACTATTTTCTATCTACTGAATTACACCCACCAAGTGCATCACCGCATTGAAGGAAGCGTGCATCTACTCACGAACTAGAGGCTTGTGCTTGTGACAGCACAAGATGTAAACATAAATGGCGTCTTCCTTGGTTGAGCCGAAATGTTAGCTAGCTCAAAGGTGCTAGGCAAGCTAACAGTAGATGCACACTCCCTTCTCCATGGTGATGTGAGCAGATTCATGTAGGAACTATTTTCTTTCTTCCGAACAACAACCACCAATGGTATCACTGCGTAGAAGAAAGTATGCATCTACTGCTAGCTCACCTAGCACCACTGAGGTAGCTAACGTTACAGCTCAGCTGAGGAGGACGTCATAAACACAAATCACTCATCCATGAGTAGATGCACATATCCTTCTGTGTTGCGATACGGTTGGTGGGTGTAGTTCGGTAGAAAGTAAATAGTTCCCTCCTGAAATTGCTCATAACAAGGTCTGTGGATTATCTTGAGTAACTGGGTCATGATTTCTGGAAAAAGACATTTATTGAGTTTTTTAAATGTATTTTTGCGGCACTTTGAGCACCACGAGCCTGAGTGCCATCTCGTTCCATTATATTCAAGAGAAGGCAGACATCTCTGTGGCGATATCTTCAACACTAGGCAACTCACATCAAAACAATCTAGACTGATACACAGCACTACACCTAGAGGAAAATATGTATTTTTGATTTTGGGATGAACTGTCCCTTTAAAATATTAATATATTTAAATGGTCATAAATGGAAAGAAGTCATGAATATGTGTCTTGTGGTTAATTAGAAATGCAGGATCCTATGGATATTTAACTACACTGCTGAATCCTGCCTATATCCTAAAGCCCTGTATCCTAAAAACAGGGAGCACTGCAGCACAGCTGAACATCTGAGCACATTTAAAGATGTAAATAACTCCTCCTTTTGGACAACAAATCTCGTATTGACACAGTAGACTGCACATTATTACTCAGTTCTCCATAAAGTGGGGCCTCAGTGTAACAGGATTTTGCCTCAGAGACAGTTTCTGTGCACTCTGATGCTGAGGATGTCAGTGAAGCTCTAACAAGCCCCTGCCCACTCTTCATCACTGTAGTGCCATATATGTGCCCATGAGTATTCATCAGGAAGGGCTAATGGGGCACAGCAGTGTGAACCTCTGATTTACAGCCCGTCCCTTGTCAGGCCTAATGATAGGGCAATGGGGCTGGTTATGGAGAAACAGGTGCTGCAGACTGAATAGATGCAGAGCAATGCCGCTGAAAGCCACGGGTGATTGTCGTTTTGTCCCCTGCACAAATGCTCATTTGCAATATTGTGTTCACACATACATAATTATTGTGCATAGAAATTAGTTCTCTTGAAGTAGGCTTATGGCTAAAGGCCTGGCGTGTGTGTGTGTGGGGGGGCAAATATTTCAAACAACAATAGTCAGTGAAAGTAAGTTTAATGGTTAATTTGCTGCTCCCCAAATTGTTTGCAGAATAAATGTCACATTCAATATACACAACAACTCTCTGTCCTATATTAACAACAGATGGAGCTCAATGATTAAGTGAGGAATAATGATCTAAATGAACTCATACACTGAACAAAATGCATTGACTGTGGTCAGGTTAATGAAACAGGTGCCCTGAGCCATGGAGAACTAATCACTTTAACAACCAGGGCATTATGTGGCATTAGGACTGGGCCTTATGGAGAAAAATAAATATTAGTTTACTCGGGAAAACTCAGTATAGACTGATATCTGTTCCAGACATAATGGAGAAATGCTTGATGAGGTTAACTTAATACATATGGGTAATTTAACTAACAAAATACATAAAGACAGCGACCAAACTACCTTTACAAAATGGACAACTTATTGTATATATTCATATCGCAACACAGATCTCCTTTGAGTTAGCAAAATGTCTTTGTCTCAGTGAGATAATGTACTAGACTCCTCTACAGTATATCTAGCTCAAAGATCAGAGGTGATGTACATTTTCAGCCTTCATAACACAAAGCAGTGTTCTTTACTGTATGTCCAAGGTCCTCTAAACTCTTTGGCTTGCTTTAGAATAAAGGAACATCTACTGGTGACCTCTCGTCACAGGCATTGGTCGCACTGCAGAGATGAGATGTAGCAGTGTTTTTATCTTTAAAAGATTGTTTCATTTAAAGGATTTAAGAGGGCTGAAGAGCGAAGTATCCAATATTTCACATGACTAAGGCACAAGTCAGAAAAAGGAAACATCACTTTAAATATGTATTTTTATTTCTTCGCTTTTTAATTGTCTTGTGACCCTTCAAAATTAGGGGTCCAACAATAATTTGGAACCAGTGGCCTGTGGTGGCCTTCGCAGCAAAGTAAAGCAAAGCAAGACGAAGCAATTGTGTCATCTCCTGATTGCTTTTCACTTTGAATTCCTCGCACATTGAAGGGACAGCTCACCCCATAATCAAAAAGACATATGTTTCCTCTACATGTTTGCTCTTAACTGTAGCGCTATTTATCAGTCTTAATCGTTGTGGTGTGGGTTGTGGAGTGTTGAAGATATCGGCTGTAGAAATGTTTGCCTTCTCTCGTATATAATGGAACTAGATGGCACTCAGCTTGTGGTGCTTAAAGCTTCAAAACATCAATGTCTCTTTCCAGAAATCATGACCTGGTTACTCAAGATAATCCACAGAACTTGTTGTGAGCAGTTTCATGTAGGAACTATTTTCTTTCTACTGAATTACACCCGCCAAACACATTACCACGCAGAGGGAAGTCTGCATCTACTGTTAGCTTGCCTAGCCTAGCACCACCGAGCTAGCTAACGTTTCAGCTCGGCCAAGGAAGACGCCATTTATATTTGCATCTTCCGCTGTCAGCAGCATTATCCTCTCATCCAAGAGTAGATGCATGCTTCTTTCACTGTGGTGATACAGCTGTTGGGTGTAGTCTGGTAGAAAGAAAATCGTTCCTTCGTGAAATTGCTCACAACAAGGTCTGTGAATTATCTTGAATAACCGCGACATGATTTCTGGGAAGCCACATTAATGCTGAGTTTTTTAAATGTATTTTTGCGGCACTTTGAGCACCACAAGCCAAGTGCCATCTAGTTCCATTATATTTGAGAGATAGCAGACATCTCCACAGCCAATATAATATCTCCAACACTCTGCAACTAACACCAAATCAATCTAGATTGATGAATAGCACTACAGATACTAGGAAAAATATGAGCTTTAAGGGTGAGAAAGTGACGACCAAAAGGCCATGGATTCAGCAGGCCCAAAAACTAGCAATGTAAAGGCTATAAAATGAAACCTGCATGGGCCAAAACCTTTTCTATATTACTTTATAAAAGAATAACATGCAGAGCGACAAACTGTATTTGTGCAACGAGACCAGAACAGTTTCACAACTCCTGTCAGTGAAGTTGTTGTAGGTGTTCAGCAGTTGAAGCTCACTCACTGCAGGTCAGCTGGCACAGTTTACTGATGGATCACTGCACAGCCCACACACACACACACACCACAAACACACACACACTGGTAGCTCTCTGCCTGGACCATCCCACACTCCAACGGTGTCTTTCCCACAGAGCCGGCAGTCAGGAGGAATATGGGCAAATCCGAAAGCCAAATGGATATCATGGAGAAATCAAGTAAACCTGGAAAGCGTCGTTGGACTGTTGCAGAAATTGGTCTGTCCGTGCTGCTGCTGTTGGTCAGCTGTGCCTTGGCCGGGCTGGTAGTCCTCTACACGTCGGTTGTGAAAGGTAACGGCTCTGTCAGGCTCACTGTGGAAAGATCCAGATATTACAGATGGCAGCAGTAATGACAAGTGTCTCCCGGCTCTGTTTTTTGTGTGACTACAAGCTGGCATTGACACAGGAAATGATCTTGACCCTGGAAATGCTTTCAGATCTGACCATGACATTGCTTTATGCAATACTGATGCACATATATCATCTGTTAACCTTTTTAGTGATTTTAAAGGTTAATGTTACACTTCAAAATAAGCAAAATAAGGGTTTTGCCTCATACACAATATACACTACACACACAGTCCTAACCTTTGAGTAAGGAACTGCAACCCCAGGCTTGTTTTCTGAAAAAATAAATGATCTTAGTGCACTTGCAAACATAATACAACTCTGCATAACTCTTGATTGTGCTTTCTTTTCTTTAAATATAAAATAATCCAGATAATTCATAATTAACTCACCCTGACTGTGTCTAAAAATCTGTTTCTTCCTAACAATTCAGAGCAATCTAACAAGACGAGTGTGTCCAGGAGCTCAACAAGTGAAGGTGAGCGTTGGTCACTATAAGCTTGTAAACTGAGCAAAGGGAGCACAGTGTGATAAGTGGGTTGGCGTGTGTCATATTGGAGCCTGCACCTCTGATAGTCACTGTAATGCTGTAATTCCCTTTACTGCCTGATCAGCAGTGCCACACAAGTGAAGAACAGAGTCACTGCTGACATAGACATTGCCCGACACACACACACCATAGATCTAGACTATTTAGAGTTTTTTTCTACACGATAACATCCTCCTCGTCTCAGTCGGAGTGCAGTTTGTCAAATAGTCTGAATGCTTTCTCATGAATGTTGACATTGATTTTTCCAGGCCAGCTGTTTCGCTCCAGCCTCAACAGTGTGTGCACAACTGCGGACTGTGTTACTGCAGGTGAGAGGAGTTTTCTTTTTTCTCCTGCTGTTTCATTTTACAAACAAAGTCAACCCCCCATCCCTGCAAAAAGCTGTTTTCTAACCACATGCGGATCTTCACCATCCATCTTTTCCCCCCTCTTGTCTCCATGACACCTCAAAAGCTGCCCGGCTCTTGCAGAACATGGATCAGTCTGTGAAGCCTTGTGATAATTTCTACCAGTATGCCTGCGGGGGCTGGCTGGAGAGACACGTCATCCCGGAGACCAGCTCCCGCCACAGCGTCTTTGACATTCTGAGGGACAAGCTGGAGATTGTCCTCAAAGGTCAGCGGGGTGTAATCTTTAGTGGTCAGTGGGCTGCAGAATTCAGAGCCACACGTGGGTTTCATTCAGAGATGAAATATCTGCATGTGTTCTGTTGTTGCAGGTGTTCTGGAGACGGAGAATGAACAGGACAGAAATGCAATCAAGAAGGCCAAAGTTCTTTACAACTCCTGCATGAATGAGAGTAAGGTTCTCTTTATGGTGTTTCACTTCTGAAAGGAGGCAAGAAAACAGTTTCTGGAGCTGTTTATTACATCAGACGGTTCCTTCAGCCAGGGTGTCTGCAGGTTCACCAAGTTAGATTTAGGACTTTTTGAACTCTTTTAAATGGCATATAGAGCAAAATTTTATTCACGTTTTATGATCATACTGGCAGTGTGATGGAAAATCAGTAGAGATGATGTGACCTTTTTCAGTACTTACTCGTATAGCACGATGCAACAATCATTTCTGATGATTTAATTGATTTAATCAGCTCAGCTTGGACATGGATAAGTGGCATTCAAATGGATGTGTGGATAGATTAAACAATTAAAATGATTAATTCATTTAATTTAATTCATTTTAAATTAACATTTAATCATTATGAACTTGATGTGCTGTGTCTCAAATGGGATACTTCTAATCTGTACTTATACTTGATATTTTGAGTGCATGAGTGCGTTCACACTGTGAAGTAGGCAAAATGCAGTGTACTGTAAGTACCTGGATGGCGTACCCATAATGGTTACGAAGTTGAGCATGGAACATGAGAACATTCTCAACTCTCAAAGGTTGCCATGTTGCCCACATAGCACGTAGCACGAACACATTTTAAACTTGTGAAATGTCAGCTGACTGTGTCGAGGCGTAAACTTTAGATTGCCCCAGGAATGAGTCCTAAAACGTGCAAATCAGTTAGCATCTTTGCCCTCTGGTTCTCTTGTGCCAGAATCAGTGGGTATTTTGAATGGGTTTTAGGTTAAACATCTGCAAAAAGGTCTGTGTTTTTTTTACAAGCACAAGACACTGTCATGCTCTGTTCTACTACATAAAATACATCAGTAAACACCAAGCTCGTGAGTTTTTTTTGTGTGTTTAAAAAGACGGTTGCTAAGAAGTGGCTAAATGAGACTACAGAGCATCTTCACACCGAACACAGCTTTACAGCCATGCAATATTGGTGTATTGTTTTTATCGTAATATTAGCTTTTTACCTCTGGCGATTGCACTTATGCTTCAAAAATCATAAAAGTGGTGTTCATTTTTAAAGATTATCTTGCCGAACAAATCATTTAAGTATCATAAACTTTTGTTTGCCGCAGAGCTTATTTTCTGCAACAAGTAAAAATCCAATGGAAAAATCACACAGGTTTTTTGACGAGGGAACCAGGGCGATGCTAACTTACTCGTCGGCTTACAGGAAAACATCATCCCTGGAGCACTCTGTAAGGTCTGGGGGCATAGTGAAGTTTGTTGTGTATGCATGTTAAATTGTCGTCTTTGCAGTAGAAGATTTTAGATTTGTGGTCAGAGAGGCAGCCAGTGTCAGCCAAGGACATTCATAGATAAAGAAACGTGCCATGAAAACATGTTCATTTTTAATACAAGAAATAAATAGCCTAAATACAGGAGAAAGCAAATGAGCGACCAAGCAGATACACCCAGCATATATTGTGGCAGGTGACAAACATCTGGGGTTGCAATTTGCAAGCCGAAGAAAAGCTGTCAAATCTTGTGACTGTCGTTGTTGGTAAGTGCGCAGCAGCTGTGTTTGACAACAAATGTCAAAATGTGTCCACTATGCAAGTACACAGTGCACTGCATGTGAGTGGACTAACAGAAGTATCTGATTTGAGACACAGCACTAGTTACTGTAGCTAGCAGAAGTGCTTTTTACTGGTCTGACGGTGCTGACTGAAACTCCAATAAAACTCCTCCTGCAGCATAATTGAAACAATCTCCTTTTTATGATTAACTGCCTACAGCAGGCAAGAGAAATATTTAAGACTGTTGTGAGTGAAAAACATCTGCTAATTCTGCTGAACACACCTGCAGTGATGTTTGTAAATTAATAAATTTTAATACCTTCTAAGGCCTTTTTTGAGAAATCAAAAGAAGACTTTGCAAGTCCTACAGGTGGAGCTGCCCAGTCGTCATGGTGTGAGATTGTTTTTGTCCACTGCTGTTTCCAAGGTGGGAAAAAAATGAATCTCAGTGAGGCCTGTTGTCTTACAGAATGAATAGTAGAGCGACTTAATCGTCGGAATAAATGTTGGCATCATTTCTGCAAACTATGGATATGTTACATTTGTACGTTATTATGTAGCAGATATGTTTGAATTTTATTCGCTGTTGTTTGTTGGTCTCAAACAGTGGTCTGCAGCCTGTCAGTCATCTTGCCGAGGGTCTTACACCATCCACCATCCACCATCTCCTACACTTTTGTGATGACAAAGTTAGCTCATATACATGTAATCAGACCTAGGTCACTTTAGAGACACTGATATGATCTAAAACCTATAAATGTAACGTATCAGTGGTTTGTAGAAACATACAATGCCATCATTTTCTCCTGACGACTGGGCTGAGTAGAGAGACTATGGTGTTGTTGTTATATTGTATAAGTTGTGGTGTTTTGCTTGCAGGCCTCATAGAGCAGCGTGACTCCCAGCCCCTCCTGAAGCTCATTGAGAGTATCGGAGACTGGCCCGTGGCGTCAGATGACTGGAACACCACCACAGGTAGAACACACACACACACTCTGATTAATGTCTGCAGCTTGTTCTTCTATAAACGTGCAAATGTGCACGTGCAATACATCCACACAAACAAGCACTCATGTTCCTACTCAAATCCATGTGCTCACGCAGAGCTCGTGTAGCTATATTTGCTCTCAGGGAATTGCTGAGTTTGAGCTTTGTTGGCGGGATCAAGAGGCCGGCCGCAGCTCTTCAGCTGAGCAGTCATGTGTGGAGTTTGGGAGCGTGATGAGTGGGTAGAGGAGCATGTCCTCACTCAGGACTGTGAAGGATGCTTTAAATAGTCTACGCTGCTCTTCCCCAAGCTCCTGGCTCTTGCCACTTTAATTAAATGTAATCATGGACGGTGGCTCAAACAGAATTAACCACACATAGCTGCATCTGCACAGATTCACACAGAGAGTGCGGTTAAATGTGCAGCACAGGCAGAGAGGGAGCCTGCTCTTTGCATCCTGCTACATTGAATAGTTCATTACAGCGAGATAACTGTGTTTAAATTAAGTGCCAGGTTTTGTTTTCTCCTGTAATTGCAGAGGAAGCATGGAGCCTCGAGGACACACTGGCAAAGCTCACTTCTCATTTCCACAAGAAGGTTCTGCTGGATATGTACGTGTGGACAGACGACCGGGACTCTCGGCGCCATATCATTTATGTAAGATTACAAATAACAGATTACAAGTGTAACATCATTACACAGTCATTATGTGTTATGAGTCTGTCGCTTAATACTTTCCAACTTCCCTACCCTGTCTGTGGCACTCAGCCTGAGCCAATTCATTACTACTGAGGATGTAAATCCTGAAAAATGGCTCACAAATAGAGTTTCCTTTTTATAAAAGGCTAAATAAATTCCAATTAGTAGTAGTAGCAGCAGTTAATAGCAAATGTTACTCAAACAGGAGTAAATAGTGTGTTTGTTGTGGACTATTTTCAGTGGTGGATTAATACACATTTGGTGTGCTGGGGGTTTTTTTAGGACTGTTTATGTGAGATGGACTCAGTATAAACTCTCAATACAAACTACAGTGCCCATGATCATGAAGGAACATGTCGCCCAGTGCAACTGTGCAACCACAGTATTTAGAAATCTCGAAGATATGATTCTTAAGATGCTCCTCTTTGTATTAAACTGCTAGAGAGATGCTGTAGAGCATGTACCACCAGAGGTCAGTCTCTACTGGTGAAATAGGCAGCTGAGGTGAAAAAGATGGCGACTGTGAGTGGTGGGGATGACGTCACAGGACTCATGTTAAAAAAATGTCTCTGCCCCCCATTTAGGAGTATTTCCACATGAAACTTTATCTTGAGATGACTTCTTCCGACTACAAAAGCAGTTTATTAGCCACATGATTTTACTCAACACGTCATCGCCGTTCAGCCCACTGATGTGTCGGTATCTGCAGCAGCAAGTGTCAGGTCCTCCAGTGAGAGGGGCGCTTCTTTCCTATCTGTTCATTATTCTATGGGCTTTAAATATTTAAACCCAGCAAGACTAGTCTCAGTAGGCTGACTGCATATTAGAAATGCTACAATGACTTCTATTACCAGTAGCTCAGCTTTTAAGCACAGATACGATTGTATACCGTATACCTCGACGAAACGCTAGGAAGGTATGAGGGTAGGAAAATAAATGCCGCCCAGGCCTACAGTGGGATGAAAACAGTAATGCAACATTTCAAATGTATAGAATCCATCACTAAATTCATGGCAAACCACTTTTTGTCACCATGTAATAACACTAAGACAGTTATATAAGTGATTTAATTATTTTAGGAATTATGCATGACTAATATAAATATTTTTATGATTAAACTTTTTATTGCTTTTTCAGGAACAAATGTACAAACAATACACAAAAGTAAAAAAGAAAAGGAAGGATGTGCACAATCCTCTCTGCAGTGTGTAACACACTGTCATACAACCTTTATACAACATCATATTACACCTCGTGTTCATCTACTTCACATAAACAATTATATAATGCACAGAGAGCAGGAGTGAGACACAAATATCAGCTGACATGTTGATCATCTGTATCTATCACTTCGTCTGAAACCCTTTAGACTATTATTAACTCTGTGGATAAGCTGCTCAAAAGAAACTATTCGGCCAGCTCATCTCTCCGTTCTCTGAAGCAGATTTTCTCTTTGGACTCACAATGTCTCAGCACTGCACTGCTTCCCATTATGCGGGCTAATTTCACCCAAGAACACACTAGAGAGGCCGGGTTAGCCTCCATTGGTAAAATGCCCAACATACATAATGCTGGACCCTCAGTGAAGTCTGTTTCCAGTATGTTGTTAACACAGAAGTCATGTATGGTTTCACATTCATATAGCACGAGTACCAGCATGCCCCTTTCTTTGCTGCATCTCTAACAGCTATCATCCTCCCTGAGCCCCAGTCTCAACATTTTCATTATTCACAGTGAAATCAGGTGTGTCTAAATGTCTCGGGCTTTGAAATACCCTGACTGTGCTGCTTTCCTCCAAGCTTCCCTGTGAGTAGCAGGCACCTAGGAACGATGCTTAGACTTGCAGTTTTTCCCAGTGGCCATTCCGGGTATTGGAGTTAAAAAAAAATCCCCTGTGGGACAAATAGCATTTACCCCATTGGCAACCATTATAAAAGATACGTCAACAGGACACCTTGAACTCCAAACAAGGTCAGTTACGACTCTTTCTATTAGGAAGGGTTGGTCCATGGAGGTTTAGTATTTGTTAAACTTTACTGGAATAAAAGCGATGGAAAAATCAGTGACATCATCACAATGTAAAGTCTATGAGCTGAACAGGAACTAGCAGGTGGGGCCAGCAGGAGAAACACTACTGCGCATATACTTTTTTTTCCGTATACTCAAGGCAAGCAGTTCCGTAGGACTGAAAAGGTGCCATCTTGGGATCTGGTATCAAGGTATTATTATACATCCATGGTGAATAGATGTTCCAAGATGCTCTTCCCATGTGAGCTTCTCACCCTTATAGTTTGGGGATTGATATTTTATCTTCGTAACCTAGTTGTCCACCTCTCTATGCTTCAAACTTGAATTAATTAACATTAAAACATTTTAAAAAAGTACCCCTCAGGGTATGATCACCCCCCTATGGGAGAAACACTGGCACAGTGGAATGCGCTGTATCAGACTTTAACTGATACTTGTTAGCAGGAACAGTTTATCCTTGGTTTTGGTCTTTTCATCGGATTTATTGATAATAATAGAATATTGGCAGCCATTTCATTTTAGTATACAGTTAAAAACACACAAAAATGTAAACATGAAAAAGATTAAAGACACACAGAAATGTTTGATCGCTATTCTTGGTTATTCTGGTTAGATTGACCAGCCTGGACTGGGTATGCCATCAAGAGACTATTACTTCAATGATGGAAACTACAAAAAGGTGAGGCCTTAAAGGATCATTTCACCCAAATCACTAAAACACATTCTCTGAATTAAAGCTGCACTTTGTAACTTTAATGAAAATAACATTGTGTCACATTTGCTGAAACTGTCACTATGTTTTGAAAGAAGTACAAGACCGATAGCCAGGGGAAAAGAAATCATGTCCCTCCTCATCCTATTGCCTCTAATGGCATTTGCTGGAATCTACCACAGTGCACTGAAAACAACTAATCAGCGTCGTTGGGTCTCTAATGCAGCTGTCAATCATGTCAATCACTGCTCGTGAGCTGTGGTCAAACTGTCAAACTGGGCAGTGCTGATCAAGATTCTGTTACTGCATTGTCTGTTTCTCACCTCAAATGTTTTCAGAAACATGTTTCAATGTACTGTTTAGCTGTAAAATAAGACAGTGGTGACCTGGCCGCCCACCAGCTGGACCAACTTTCTTTTTTTTTTTTTACAGCTAAACAGTACACTGAAACATGTTTCTGAAAACATTTGAGACAAGAAGTAGGCAATACAATAACAGAATTGTGATTCATATTTGATCAGTGCTGCCTAGTTTGACGGCTTGATTGCAGTTCACGAGCAGCTACAGATATGACTGACAGCTGCGTTAGAGATTCTTTGGCTCAGATTGGTTGTTTTCACTCACATGCCGTAAGGCCATTAGAAGCACTACAAAGCAATACAGTGACTAAATGAATATGATTTTTTTTCTCACGGATTGTCTGTCTCATTTCTTGCTGTTTGAATATAGTGACAGTTTTTGCAAATATGAAAAAAAAATCTTTTGTTTTTATAAAAGTTACCAACTGTAGCTTAAACGCATGAATCATGCAGATAATTTAGGTTTTATTTGTTAAAGTTTTAGATATTTTTCTATTAGAATTCTTCGTCCACTACAGTACTATGGAGGTGAATGGGATTTTGTTGTGTTAAAAAAAAGACTTGCAAAACTCAACGCCAACATCTCTGTGCAACAAAATGTCACAGTAACAGCTGCATTACTGTCTACTGAAGAAATTGTTCTCAGTCAGGTCGTAATTATATCTGGATTATCCTGAGTAACCAGTTCATTTTTAGAAAATAAACGTATTATCTAATGTAATTTTCCCTTGTTTGGGGTGCTACAAATCTTATTCCATTCGCCTCCGTCATTCTGACACAACCTTGATTTTGCTGTGGAAACAACATTTCATAGCTTGTGATTGCACCACAGGTTCGAGAGGCCTACCTACATTTCATGGTCTCTATTGCGAAGATAACCCGAGAGGACAGGAACTTGACTCAGGATGACGACCGTGTGTGGGAGGAAATGATGCAAGTGCTGGAGCTGGAGACAGACATCGCCAACGTGAGTGCCAGCCACAACAGGAAATGGAATTGCGGGATGAGGGCTAAGGAAAATGAATAATGACAAGATGAAAAATGAGTAGCCCCTCTCTGCTTCCTGTAAATCAAAAGCACCAGGCTACATTTAGTGTGGATACAGGGGATCAGCCAGGCTTTTAACCAGTCGTTTTTGTTGTCCGTGTCTGTCAGAAGCATGACGAATGAGACTTTGCTGATGAAAAGAGAGCATAATGTGAATATATATAACCAGAAGGCTTCTTCCTTCCTGTTATGGGACAGGCCACATCACCGGCAGAGGAGCGCCAAGATGTCACCATTCTCTATAATAAGATGACTATTGGAGAGCTGCAGAACACATTCAGCTTTAATGTAAGTGTCATTTTACGTGTTACATAAAGTGCAAGCAGTTCACAGGTTCATGTCACTGAACTACTGTGTCTTTAACAGCCCAGAGTTGCGAAACTAAATGAGGCTGTGCTGTAATGTTAGCTAGCTCAGGAGATACACTCTCCCTTCTACAGTTGGTGGGTGCAGTTCAGCAGAAAGAAAATGAACTGCTCACAACAAGGTCTGTGGATTAACTTGAGTAACAGGGTCATGATCTCTGGAAAAAGACATTGCTGTTGAGTGTTTCAGTTCTTTTTTTTTTTTTGGCACTTTGAGCACCACAAGCTGAGTGCCATCTAGTTCCATTATACTGGAGAGACAGCAGACATCTCCACGGCCGATATCTCAAACACTCAGTACTCAGATCCTCTGAAGTGTCCTGATACAGAAAATAATGGACTGTGTGGAAACACCACAGTGTAAAGTGTGAAGTGGAGTGTTATTTGCCTCAGCCCTGTCCATTATTTTTGTACATAATGACCCCTCGTGTATTATTGTTTACTTCTTACAGATGATAATTCCAGTGGCCACTCAGAAGGCTCGCTGTACCTGGAAGCTCAGTGTGTGAATGTGATGTTACTGAAACATACACTAGATGTTCATGGTATCCTAATAATTATTTATTTATTTATTTATTTATTGTTTTTTGTATAGGGACACGTGTGTGGCACAAAGCACCACAGCATTTGTAGCTCATTTGCAGTGCAGTACGATATCAAGACATATCAGCCTTTGAGACCATAGGTTCTGCTATTGTTTAACTTTACACAACAGTGTCTATATATTTTGAATAGCGTATAGTAGTGGACTATACTGAGGTTGTGTTTATATTTACTTTATTTATGTATTAGAATACAGGCACAAGTTATTTACGCCAGGTACGGTGCTGTAAGGCAGTTGGATGACATGAAGTCTGTGTTGGTTTGGATCATAATAAGTTTTGACCGTGTTATGCAGTGTTAAAGTGTGTAATAATGGGTAATATGATAAGAATATATAAAAGGAAGGACACTGAGGTGGTAGTGAACCGTACGAGATGTAATTATGGAAGACTTGGAAAAGGAACAGGAACACAAGTCAGAACTGAGACACCTCGCAGACTAAGTGGCCTAGGAACTTTAGTATGTTGAAACAGCCACTATACATGCCATCTATTAATTAGTGATTGATCATGCTATAAAATGTCACAGGCAGTTTGGGCGGGCAGAACAAGGGGGGACAAAGCAGCATTCTGTCAGACACAATGGTGGACTCACAAATGAAGACTGAGATGAAATCCAAAGTTCAGGGTTTTTAATACAGTCCAGGTTAGTACACAAAGGTCAGGCAAAAACTCACTGGTCTAACTATGACAAAAGGTCAATCTCACAGGGAATATACACTAGGAAGAACACCAGAAAGCTCACACGAAGGACAAGACAATCTAACTGAGAACAAAGGGAAGACACAGACTTATATACACTCTGACAGGGGAGATAATGAGACACAGGTGAAAGCAATCAGACAGTTAGGGTGGCGGGAAACTTGATATGGGCAGACAAACAACAGACTTTCAAAATAAAACAGGAAACAACATCACCTTCAAACCTTGACATGTTCCAAGTAAGTTATTAATAACTCACATAAATATTGCCTTAATTAGTCCACCTTCCTTCTACACACATGGAAACTTGTTTAAAACTACATCTGCAGATGTAGTCTAATCTACAGATTAAATTTAGACACACAGGATGTGGTGTTCCTTGTTGCCTTGAAATAATTAGCTGTTAGCACGACAATATAAAATCATGTAAAACATATTTAGCCATGTATGAGACTGGAGCCAACAAAGAAAGGACTCAGACGCAGGACTAAAAAAAACACAAGGTCTTACTGCAAAAAAGGGGGTCTATGCACAGATAATCAGTCCAAAAAACACAAACAAAGGTATCCAAAGGCAGAAGGTTTAAGTAGGGTCAACCTTGGGAAAATGGCCAGGACACACACTCAAACAACTGACGATGAACTGGCAACAGACAAAGGGCAGCACAAGCAGTAAATACACAAGGGAGAAGGGGTAATGAGGGACAGGTGAAACCGATCAGGGGGCAGGTAATCACACAGGAGGGAAACACACAGGGGCAGGAAGTGAAGTACCTGAAACGAGAGACAAGGGTGAGCATTAAAATAAAACAGGAAATACTGACAAAAACTGAAAACAAGGAAAACATGACCTTAATGGGGACCTCGGGTTTAACACCATGTGGGTTTCGAACCATATTTAACATGCGTAATATCTCCTACCTTTTGTTTTCCAGGGGTTTAACTGGACACGGTTTATTCAAGGCGTGCTGTCCAGTGTGTCTGTTGAGGTGCAGCTTGAGGAGGAGGTGGTGGTGTACAGCTCTCCCTACCTTGAGAAGATGAATGACGTTCTCTCCAAACACAGTGTCAGGTCAGTCCCAGAGGGTGACGCAAACAGGAGTCCATGAAAGTATAATAATTAAAATATAGCTACAATTCAACACACTTTAACAAAACCATTTTTTGTTTGCAGAACTATGCAGAACTACCTCACCTGGCAGCTCATCATCGACAGAGTGAACAGCTTGAGTCGCCGTTTCAAAGACGCTAGAGCCCGTTACAGAAAGGTGCGGTGAGCATGACATAACAGAGCAGCACATATTAAAACAAGCTCGCTTAAGAACTAAATTACAGCGTGTTGTCTGTGTGTGTGTGTGTGTGTGTGTGTGTGTGTGGGGTCAGACTCTCTATGGGACCACAGTGGAGGACGCTTGGTGGCGAGAATGCGTCCGTTACGTCCAGAGCAGCATGGAGAATGCAGTTGGAGCTCTGTATGTGCATGAGACCTTTGCAGGAGAAAGCAAACGAATGGTGAGTCCTTTTGGTCCGTACACCCCTGAACATAACAGAAACATTAGCTTCCTCAGAGCATGGAAATCAGTTACCACCACAGAGACAGTTTACGTCAAACAATGAATGCAAGCTGTATGAAAGTCATGGAATAAACTCGGCCTTGAGGGGCCACGTGTCACTTTCATAATGCACTATCTGCCAGTTAATCAAGAAAATGGATTTGGAATAATTTTCTCTGCTTTAGTCATTTTTAACACTTTTATGACTCATGGAAATTGAGTACACTTTTGTCACATCAAACGCATTTTCTGCTTTTCACACCCTGCTGTTTCATGTGATAGTGGTAATGATGCCACATTTACAATCATTGCCAGCTGAGAAACATTGGTCTATCAATAAAAGGTAAATGTAACTATGTGCAATTGAAACGGATTCAATAAACAAACGATAATGTAACATTATGGTCATTGGACCACTGTGAGCTCTTGTTGTCATCTCTGGATGACTTTTAAAACACTTGAACACAGGGCTTTTACTTGAACTTTTCTAAGAGCACATAGCTGTCATATTAGTTGTTCAAAACTCAAACTCCTTTTGTCAGGTGATTCAGTTAATTCGTTTTTAGCTACTGAAAAAAATGCCCACCAAAAAAAAAAATCAATATCGGTTTAAAAGAATGCTACATTGAGAATATTTTCACAATTTTACCTTGCCATCAGACAGCCTTTTTTAACAGGGAATTGAAACTATTATATCAAAGTCACCAGCCTTCACTGACAAAACAGTAATTGCATTCTGTATGCTGCATTCTGGGTGTAGTGCCACCCAAGATGACTGTGATTGGTTTAAAGAAATACAAACAAGCCAGAGCATTTAATCACTAAAACAGAATGATAATGTGCTTCCAGACCTTTCTCTAGTGCTGACACAGCACTGTGGCGAGTTAGTGTTAGGGAAAGATAATGGTTTGGGTTAACTGACTATTTGAAATACGGAATATGAAATCTCAAAGGAGTTTTCACAGATCCGGGGTTACCATCTAGACACGACTCCCTCTTCTGAAGTGGCTCCTGAGTGGAGGGTTTGCAGCAGTAGTGGATGGAAAAGTGCATAAATTAGTGTTTGTTTTGCTAATTTTCTGAATTTTTTTCTGTTAAAAATTGTGCTACAATTTGGATGGAAACCCAACTTACGACAGTTTGTGTCTGTATGGGATTGTAATCACACTGTTAACAGGTCAGTGACCTCATCAGTAAGATCCAGAAAGCGTACGTGGAAACACTGGAGGAGTTAAGCTGGATGGATTTTCCCTCAAAGGAGAAGGCAAGAGAGAAGGTAAAGTACACAGCCAAGCTAAGAAAATAAGGGGGTATCATCTCCAGATGTTCTGTATTATCATACTAATGTTCCACATGTCATGTAGGCCATGGCAATCAAGGAGCATATTGGTTATCCAGATCATATTCTGCAGGACAGCAACAAGAAGCTTGACCAGGAGTACGCTCATGTAAGTAGCACCTGAGTTTGTTTTTCAAGCCATGCTGTGTTTATACCTGACATGTGTCACCGATCTCTCATTTGTTTGGTTTCTCTCTCCAGCTGAATTTTAGTGAAGAGCACTACTTTGAGAACATCCTCGAGAACCTCAAGTCAGAGGCGCACAAGAGTCTGAAGAAGCTCAGAGAACCTGTGGACCCGGACCTGTAAGCTGTTGATGCATCTGACAGCACAAGCTGTTCTTATCAGCAAAACACAAGCTCTTGTACTCTGGTGGTCATTGTGCTTTATCAGTGCTCTCACTTAGAGTGCGTGACATGAAATGTCATCAACGGTGACATATCACAGTCATAGATTTTTGCTCCCTCTTTCTGTTGTCCTCAGCCAAAACATAACAAATTTTTTTTTAAGTGGACATTTTGAACTCAGTGTCCTAAAGTAGAGGAAGATGTTCTGTATCTTCATAGAACACTGAAAAGTTAATCTTGATCTTACAAATCTTATTTAAAGGTCCAGTGTGTAGGATTGAGCAGTATCTATTGGCAGAAATGGAATGTAAATTCATAACTATGTTTTCATTAGTTTATAATCACCCAAAAATAAGAATCGTTGTGTTTTGAGCCATTTATATCTACACAGAGCAGGTCCTCTCTCACAGAATCTGCTGTGTTATTCTACAGTAGCCCAGAATGGACAAATCAAACTGACTCTTCGTAGAGCCATTTGTGTTTTCATGTCAGCCACCATAGTTTCTCTTACATGCTTGGCACACAAGAGAAGTTTCAGTTGGTTGCAATCTGCAACCTCACCACTAGTTGCCACTGAATCCTAAACGCTAGACCTTTAAGTAAAGCACAGAAGTAATGGCATAAAAATATATTTACAGTACACAAAGTAAGTAAGTACTCATTATGCAGAATGGCTGATTTTAGAATCATATATATTGTACCACTGGATTATAATTAAGCAGATGCTATTAGCACCAAGGTGTCCGTAGCCAACAATGCTATTTGCTCCTAGAGCAGAATAGCAAATGTGACTATTAATGCAATGTAGAAGTATAACGTTAACACAAACGGGTCTATTCAGCTATTCTGCTAAAAATACTACGCCAACACAGGACTTTAACCCCAGGCTCCTACATGAAAGTCCTGTGCAGAACCCATTCATCAAACACATCTCATGCCTTCTTTGAACTGTGTCGCTCTTTGTACTACATCACTTGATTTTCTGACAATACATTTATGAGTTTTTTACATATATGTATCAGAGTATCTGAGATTGGCTAAAACCAGCCCTAACCTTGGCCTCTTTGCTGTAATCCCGACTGCTTCCAAACCCCATGCATCGACGTGACGAGTACGAGCAAATCACAGCACGCAGTGGGATCCATATTGACACGTCATAGGGACTGGTGTAAATAGCTGAATAGCTGCAGTGTGACCATTTTCACTCCAGCGCAATAGACACTCTGTTATAATGGTTAGTGATGCATTGGTGTGTACATCCTTTTAATGTTGCAGCTGGTAAATGAACTGGAGCTCATTTCAACTACTTTATACACTGCTGGGCAGCTTAACTTATTTATTTTTTGTCATTAATTTACATCTGCAAAGTAAGAAATATCTTTAGTTGTCAAATAAATGTAGTGTAATAAAAAGTACAATACTTGCCTCTGAAATGTAGTAATGTAGAAGTATATTGCTGTGTTATTTAGGCAGATGACAGATGGAAAAACACCTTCTGGACAGCACGGGAAAAACAAACAAACAGTCTGACGGAAAGGCAGGACAGCAAAACCAAACATGCCTGATGATACGTTGCGATGATGATGCCGTATTAGTTACAAAGGGGGGAATAAAATATATGAAATAGAATTATTTTATGTTTATTTTTTATGTCATTTTTCTAGTAATGTCCAGTAACTGTGCAGATCACCCATGTTTTCTCCTTATCTAAGGGAGCTACATAAAATCCGGTTATTAATACTGACGTAGAGGATGGCAAAAAAGTTGAAATATTTATCTTTAAATGGCACCATCAATGCTACTGTTAGCAATATCAGTATTCTGTGCTGGCCTCTCCTAATTCTGTCGTCTTGCTCTCGTCCATTAAAATGATATCCGGTTTGCCGTCTATCATCTCTCCGACTCCATGTGAGCATAGCATTAATGAGCATCAAATGGAAATGCTCAAATAAAGTACAAGTACCTCAAAATTGTTTTTAAGTGCAGTACTTGATTAAATGCATTTAGTTATATTCCACCACTGGAAGGTTTGAATATGTTGTTTCATGGTACAAATTGTGCTCTGTGCATGGATTTTACAGGATAATATATCTGACTTAAAATGCAGTTTTGTTCTCTTTAATCAATTATAAACCAATTCCTCCTCAGGTGGATCATTGGTGCTGCTGTAGTGAATGCTTTCTACTCACCCAACAGAAACCAGATTGGTAAGAGCTTTGCCTCTGTGGACAAATAAGACGTGTTGTTTTTATAGTAACACAGTTACTCCTCTGTGTAATCCTGTTTAGTGTTGCCAGTACTTACTGTGTTTTCACTCCTGTTGTTTTTGTCTGTCCAGTGTTTCCAGCAGGAATCCTGCAGCCGCCTTTCTTCAGTAAACATCAGCACCAGGCACTCAACTTTGGTGGCATAGGAATGGTTATCGGACATGAGATCACACACGGATTCGATGACAATGGTGAGACAGGAATGATCCATGGTGGATATTTTGGGAAGTTTATCATTCACTGTCATTTTGTAATAACAGTTTATTTTAAGTCTGCTGTTGTGACTGTGATTGGATACTGCTTTGTAGTTGCATCATGTTTGGCAAACAGTACTTTGACTTAATGCGTTCTGTTTCCTCACAGGGCGTAATTTTGACAAGGATGGTAATATGCTAAACTGGTGGAGTAATTACTCTGCTGAGCATTTTAAAGAGCAGTCACAGTGCATGGTGCAACAGTATGGCAACTTCAACTGGAAGCTAGCGGGAGGACAAAACGTAAGCACCCAGTGGCATGTGCAGTATGAAATGAGATGTTTTGTCTCGGCTGTAATCTCCGACAATGTAAACCATGTATTAAGTGACCAGAATGAGTGTTTTCATGTCATGGTTTTGACTGTGTGGCTGCAGGTCAGTGGAATCAGCACTTTGGGGGAGAACATTGCAGACAATGGAGGGGTTCGTCAGGCATATAAGGTTGGATGTTAGCTGCAAAACCACATGTTACTATTTCAGCAGCAAGTACAAAATGTTTATAATAAACATTCTGCACATCTGAAATCTGTTTTCAAGTGTACGTACGCGTCCGTGTGTTTACAGGCTTATCTAAAGTGGGTGGAGATGGAGGGTGAGGAGCCTCGTCTGCCTGGTCTAGACATGGATCACAAGCAACTTTTCTTTCTCAACTTTGCCCAAGTAAGTAAGAATAATGAGGGGACATGTTGTTTCTGAATGTATTATTTCAGCAGACGGAAGGCAGACAATAATTTCTTCGTCTGGAGTTGAGAGCCAACGCTCAGGAGGCGCATTTTTCAGTGGATGTTTGGTGCCGAGAAGTAAACACTGGGACAAAGGGAGAGGGTCAGGGGGTGAGATGCTGAAGCAATCTCAGAACAAATCAGTGTTTAGCTACACACACACACAGGGGATGAAGAAGAGCTGCCAAAATAAAGAGCATCTCAGTGCCTGACAATGTAACCCGAAAGCAGAAAACTGTCATCAACTGTTTAACAGGTCAAATGTTACAAATGTTTTTCAAGATTCCCCACTGCGACGATAAACTTAACATGTAAGTTGGTACACGAGTAAAAAAACTTGTGCCAAACTTGCAGTCGAAAAAGCTGGGAATTAGAAGAATTGATAGATGCAAAGTGCTGTAAAATATTGTATAATAAACATGAGTTACGTTAGAGGTATGAAATACTAAATTTGTAGTTTGTAAAATGTATTTATCAGTCTAGATCTGACAAGTAACTAGGGGTGAAGTGTCTCTTTAACAGTCTGCAGAACAGTTCTTTTACCAACCCTTATAACAACCCAGTGTCCCTTCTACGGGTCCTCGCAAAGTTATATTTGATAATTATGTGTAAACAACTGCTGTGTTTAAGCAGTTTACTCATACGACCTATCGTTAGAAAACTATCCTCCTCGTGGTTCGATGAATGTGGATCATTTCAAGATACAACCACCACAGCAGGTTCAATAAACGCTTCTGTCAGACAAACAACAAACAAACAGTTATAACCTAACCTATGAAGCATTATTTTTATCCACAGATCGCTAATATTCCAACAAAGGTCCAAACAATCTAAATCCAGCAAAATATTTAGTCTAAACACATTATTACATCCTTAGATATCACAAACTGCTGCTGCACCTCTGACCTTTTGATTGACACCTCACTTGAGCCAGTAGGAGCTTCTATACTTTTACTATAGACTACAGTAGCCAACGAGAGCCTGTGCTGAAAGGAAGGGTCATCCTCAGTCCTCAGGTTACAGAGCCATTCTTAAGCAAGCGGTTGGCCCAATGGCTCATGAGTCTTGTAGGTAATGACAGACCTCACCTTGAATGTAGTTTCGAACAAGTTACTGGCTCCATACTCTTATAAATGTTCAATGTTCATACAATAAGCTCCTAAATAGACATTTCTGTCTTTGTTGATCAGTTTTTAACTCATATTCACACATTCAGTACATTGTGTGTTGTGGCAGTTAAATTTAGGACCCAAAATGGAAATACAACCAGGAAACAGGGAATAGTTAAAGGCAGTTTATTGTAGTTTGAAGAAGTGGAGCTGTAGGCTTTAATGACATGATGGCTGAGGTGGGCTGGGAATAGGGAAGCAGAACAGGCAGAATAGCTGAGGGCAGAGCATTCCACATCCAGTGATCAGAAGATGAGAATGAGGCTGGATGTGGTGGGTTATGGTTGAAGCTGGTGTGGTGAACCTGAGACACAGAACAGAGTGTGAAGTGGTGTCCAAAAGTACAAAGTGTCAAAAAAATAGAAGTTGGCCTGGATGTCTGTACCGCAGAGGAGACTGACCTGGCTGAGTCTGGGTATTTGCGCCAAGGTTTCATACTGCAGTGGCTTGATTGTAGATGTGGTTCAGGTGTGCAGGTTCAGCAGCTGCTGGCACTCAGGATTGGCAGGAGGAGGGAACCAGAAAGCCATGCCCAGCAAACACCCACAGACAGACTGAAAACGAACATAAGACACTAGGAAGGGGAAACATGAAACACAAGGCAGAGGGAAATCTACTTTGAATTTGGACTAAGTGAGGCTTCATGCTATGGTGCCATTGTGTTTTCCAGCTGATTAGTCCCGGCTCGAGTCATCTGCAGCATCGTTTTTTCTGGAAAATATTCAGGCAAAGGTGAAAAGACCTTTGATTTCAGTGTTTTGAAACGTATGTAACTGAGACCAGGCATGTACACGTACTAAAAATGGAACAAAAACAGCTGTAAATTCACTTTGAGTCTACCTTGGATAGGTGTTTAGGTGAATTTTACAGGATCAGTCTAGATCTGATGAGAATTTCGGGGTGGACTGTCCCTTTAACAGTCTTAAGAAAGCTCCTTTAAACTCCTAATGAATGCTTTTAAAACTCGATCACCATTCCACCATTTAATCCGTTTTCTTTTTTCTAGGTGTGGTGCGGTGCTTATCGGCCTGAGTATGCTAGCCAGTCCATCAAGACTGACTCACACAGTCCCTTAGAGTACAGGTAAGGAGCTTAATTAAATACTTCAGAACCAATAACGATGTTTTAATAGGTAGATTGATGGATTTATTTAATGATTAAACTACATCTCTACTGATGAGTTTATTGTGGCCTGGAATCTGTTGTTGTAAATACATTTCTGCGTGTGTATGAGTATTATTTTTCACAACAATAAAAGCAGCAGTCTGTTTATGAAGCGATGCGACCAGCTTGGTTTTAAACTGACTCACTGGTTTAGAACTGGGAATCTGTGGGAAACTTTTGTTTTACCAGCTGTGTTAAACCCAAAGAAGCTGCTGGAGCTCTCATCATGTGCTTCAGTTTCAAAATAAGATCCACACTGATAAATGTGTTAGTTTTTTGAGTTCCTAACACATTTAAGAAAAGCTCTGATCATTGATGGATAGAAAATACAATAAGCTTGTTTTGTTAAATGCAGCGAATCCAATGTATTTAACTTGAAGAGTCTATAATTAATATTTTATCATTAACAATGACTACTCTGTGAAAAATGCAGCTTGAAGTGATGAACCGTGCAGTGCCTCCCAGCTTGTCTTTATACATTTTATACACTACCTGCTCAGCACCAAGCAGCAGTCAGACTCAGTTGGCGCCCAGCTAGTGAACACAAGATATACTTTATTAATCCCTGAGGGGAAATTCAATTTTTTCACTCTGTCACATACACACAGGCCTGAAATACACACACACACACACACACACACACACACACACACACACACACACACACACACACGCAAACAGGATCTATACATGCTATAATGGAGTGATGTCAGAGTGACTGGGCTGCTCATGGACATGCGCCCTGAGCGGTTGGGGGTTTGGTGCCTTGCTCAGGGAGGTGAGCTGGCAGCTCTCCAGCTGCCAGTCTGCACTCCATATTTGGTCCGGATGGGGACTTGAACTGGCAGCCTTCTAGTTTCCAACCCAAGTCCCTATGGGCTGAGCTGCTGTCGCCCCAGCAGCATAAGAAACAGATTTTTGTCATGAGTTGGTTGAGCCCAAAGCAGAGCTAAAATGAGAGGTAATATTGGACATACAATGGTAAGGTTGCCAGAGACACAACCACAAGTGAATGCTAATTTTTCTCCATAACAGCTAGATCTGTAAATAAGCAGCTGTTTACTAACAAGTGCATCAAATAAGCAGGGAACAGGTAACAATATGACAATGTCATGTTCACAGCTGGTTTCTGTTGCCAAAGAAAAATCAGTTATTGTAGGTTTGATTATTTTCTTCTTTGAAGTAACAATAACTAATTTTACCCTTTCATTCATGAGTCAAATTCATCTCGTGCTGTTGTTACTCTGTGGATAGACTAGAGAGCTGCTTCACCTTTCCTCCAGTCTCACTGCACCCACAGCTGGACACAGCTGGTGCTTTGTCTCATTAGATTTAAAGATTCACCACACTGTAAATCAGGGTTATTCCACGGGTCTTTTCAAGGACTTCCCAGGCTCAAATTTAAGGACACACTGCAGCATAGTTTGAGAAACAGATCAAGGTTGATAACTATTAGCTTGCAGAGTGCCGTCCTGTTTGATGCTCTAGCAGCATGGCTTGTAAAAGCTGCTTCGCCCATGGCATGAACTTTTATTGATTTGCTGCAGGGTCTCCATCGGGTCATATGGATGTCCTGCAGATCTTTAACAAGCCAGTCTTTGTAAATGTCTTTGGTGAGGTCTTGAGGCTTTGAGCTGTCGAAGTAAGCATGGAGCCCACACTGTAACTAACTGCACTCCCTGAAGAAATATTATAATATTTTTTGAAAAATGAAGCAGTTATTCCAGAGAGAAGCAGACAGAGGGGGTCTACAGTCTGTGTTTGAAGGATATAACCAGGATGTCAAACTGACTCAGCAGCAACAACAGGTTAAAAAGACAAAGATAGTTAGAAGCTAAAGCCGAACTATAGGCTACAGATCACAGTGTAAAAGTGAACCACCACATCACTGCTGATCGCCACAGAAGACAATGAATATAAAGGGAAACTTTGCTGATATTGAACCAGCTGTGTGGCATCGCAGTGTGTGCAGATGAACCATGTTTGGAACAATGCAATGACACACAGCTGGTTGAACATCAGCAAAGTTTTCCTGCTTCCCTTCACTGGTTCCTGTACAGCAGGGTCGGTCTTTTGTTCACTGTTGTAATCATTACAAAACAAAAGCAACGTGTATACATTCAGTAGGCTATATCTTCAGTAGCTAGCTAGCTAACCCTGCACTTTTCAGGGTTTGGTTTGGGTTTTGGAACAGGGAAGAAACGTATATCTTTTTCCAACCTCTCCAGGTAACGAGTATCATTAATACACAATGTGTCCCAGACACAACATTTAGCTCCAAATCCACAAAACCTGCCTGAAAATGAAGGAAATCTGATACACTTAAATGATCCCTTTCTATTAATGTTTATTTTCATGATTTTCCCCCTCAAATTCATAAACATGAAGGATTTCAAGGGCCCATGGGAACCCTGGTAAATATAAGCCAAATAAACAGCACAACTTAACTGAAGTATTGGAATCAGCACAGGTTCATTCACTGAGCCAAACGTGAGGAGCTGGACTCACTTTGCAGAACTCCTCTTACACTCATGAGCATTTATTATAATGTCTTCAAAAAGAGGGGTTGTGCTTCAACAATAGGATTCTCAATGGTGTGTTGAACCTGAATCTCAATGAGCATATTCCAAAACAATGTGATAAGGTGGCACCCACTGAATTTCCAAGTAAAGGAGCACAGAATGCTCACATTTCACTTAAGTGGCTTACATCACAATGTTTCTGTTTTTCTCTCGTCTTTAGGGTGCTTGGATCTCTCCAGAATTTCGAAGCGTTCTCAGAAGCTTTCCAGTGTCAAAAAGGCAGTCAAATGAACCCCGAGCAGAAGTGCCGTGTCTGGTAGATAATTTCACTCTTGAGAAATGTATTTCTTGACTTGGGCAACTCAAATCAAAAGAACAAGTCTTACTGCTTCAACCCACAGAGACACCCTGCTCATTTCCAATTTATTTGGGGCAGAGTGATGATGATGCAGATATTTGCATATACTGTAGATGTATTCAAAATGGATGACATCCTAGTTTTAAAACTTGAAGCACATATACTATGAAAAAAGGAAACTTGGTAGAGGATCCTCTCAAGTTTGAAGTGTTGTCTCTGGACGAGTGGGTCACTTGTTCGTTTTTTTTGCTGTGTCCCACGACAGCTGGGTACATGAATTAAACAGCTACATAGAAAACAAAGACCTTGTGAAATAGGTTAAAGCTTAAATGGCTGGCTTTAAATGCTTCGCCAGCCTTTCTTGAATTAATCCTTTAAAAAAAAATCTCTTGTGCAGATCTTTGTGATTTATCCACCATCATTTGGCACTGGGTTACCTCTTTCCTCTGATGTATTGTTTTCAAGACATTGTGCCACTTAAGAAGAAACAATAGTGAACAAATCTGACTCCGACTGAAGGGTATGAAGTAAATGAAAGCTTGGGCTTTGCCGAAGTAAAGCTACAATAGAATTAGTCACACTCCGAGAGTTTGGTCATTCACTGTTACATGAAACAAATTACCTAAAGACTTTAAGACTGTTAAATCTTTGCAGCTTTAACCTTAAATTAACATTCACAGAGAGCTGCGGCTCTCCACATTTTTACACTGACAGAGTGGATAAATATTTAAAATTTACAAAGCTATTTAGTACTTTTTGGAGGATAATTTTTTTCTAAGTTTCTTTATCTCGTCCTGCAAATGATTGTTGCTTAATACTCACTGCAGAAATGTATATGTACGTCATGACAGTTTTCCTGTATCCCAGATGTTTTGAAGAATACTGGTGGCCTGCTGCTTTTTAGCTAGTGAGAAAACATCTGTTGGAGATAGAGTGATGTGATAATGATAGAAAAAACCAAAACAATGTATATCACTTTATTGCATTATTGTTTACCAGAGGTGTGGACTCGAGTCACTTGACTTGGACTTGAATCACAAATTTGATGACTCAAAGACGCTCAACTCACTTCAGACTTTAACACCAATGACGTGTAACTACTCTTGGACTTAAAAATACTTAATAACTTCCCCCAAAGCAAAATTAAGAGTCAAGTTATTTCAAAAGTGTGCCCTGGATCAATTCATTTTTCCAGTCATTTCCTGAATCAACTAAAAATAACGCTGCTCATTCTGAACAGGTTGACACTTCATCCCAAGATGATCCACTTTGTATAAACCAATCCAACAGCATCCAGTCAAGTTGCAGGAGAGAACTATAAAGAACTAATGTTGCAAAACATGATACCAAAGATAATTTAATAAGTGTAAAACTACATGGTTGTCAACAAAAAACAAACTAAGTATGCAAAACATGGGTTTAAGATTACAGAGACACAACTACTTCCAACTTTGTTCAACACATGAGCAGTAAGTTGAGGCTAATATTAACATAGTGAGCTAATTCTTAGCTAACGTTAGCATAACAGCTATGTGACTTCTTAACAAGCTTATTTTAAACAAATAAATACAAATGATTAAAAGCATTATGATTTTTGTAAATTTTAAGATATCCTGTTGTTTAAATGACATTTGTTAAAGAATGCATTATGACTTGTTAAGGACCCAATACTCGAACTTTAGGACTTTGGACTTGACTTGGGGCTTGTTAGTCTTGACTTAGGTCTTGTTAGTCTTGATTTTAATATTATTAGTCTTGACTTGGGGCTTGACTTGGGGCTTGACTTGGGACTTGTTAGTCTTGACTTGGGACTTGTTAGTCTTGACCTAGGTCTTGTTAGTCTTGACTTAGGTCTTGTTAGTCTTGACTTGGGGCTTATTAGTTTTGACTGAGGTCTTGTTTGACTTGACTCGGGGCTTGTTAGTCTTGACTTAAGGCTTAGTAGTATTGACTTGGCCATGGCTTGGGGCTTATTAGTCTTGACTTGGGGCATATTAGTCTTGACTTAGGGCTTATTAGTCTTGATTTGGGGTGTATTAGTCTTGACTTGGGGCTTGTTAGTCTTGACTTAGGGCTTATTAGTCTCGACTTGGGGCTTGATAGTCTTGACCTAGGTTCTATTAGTCTTGACTTGTGGCTTATTAGTCTTGACATGGGGCTTGTTAGTCTCGACTTGGAGTTTATTAATTTTGATTTGGGGCTTATTAGTCTTGACTTGGGGGTGTATTAGTCTTGACTTGGGGCTTGTTAGTCTTGACTTGGAGCTTGTTAGTCTTGACTTGGGGCTTGATAGTCTTGACTTAGGGCTTATTAGTCTTGACTTGGCCATGGCTTGGGGCTTATTAGTCTTGACTTGGGGCATATTAGTCTTGATTTGGGGCTTGTTAGTCTTGACTTGGGGCTTGTTAGTCTTGACTTAGGGCTTGTTAGTCTCGACTTGGGGCTTGATAGTCTTGACCTAGGTTCTATTAGTCTTGACTTGTGGCTTATTAGTCTTGACATGGGGCTTGTTAGTCTCGACTTGGAGTTTATTAATCTTGATTTGGGGCTTATTAGTCTTGATTTGGGGGTTGTTAGTCTTAACTTGGGGCTTATTTTTATTACTTTGTTGTAAAAATGCCATTTGGTGAAGAGTGCATTAGTGCACCCAAAACTGGAACTTTAGGACTTTGGACTTGACTTGTGGCTTGTTAGTCTTGACTTAGGGCGTATTAGTCTTGACTTGGGAGTTGTTTGTCTTGACTTTGGGGTTGTTAGTCTCGACTAGTGGCTTGTTAGTCTTAACTTGAGGCTTAATTGTCTTGACTTGGGGCTTGACTTGGAACTTGACTGCAAAGACAGACGTGACTTGCAGAACAATGACTTGGTCCCACCTCTGTTGGCTGCTGCCCAGGTTAGCTCCAGATTTGGATCTAGTCGGTTGCTAATCACCGCTGTGTTGTGTGTGTGAAGCTCCCTCTTGTTTCCTGCTTCCACACATTCCACCTTCTACATGATTTTGAGACATTATCAAAACTCCTCACATGTGCCATTTGTTAGACAGCACTTAACATTTAATCAGAATTATAATGTCTGCTTGTATGATATCTGTAAGTTTACATTTAACTCAACACACGGTGATCGATTTGTAGAAGAAGTGTTATTTCTTTCACCGTGCGATCTCCTGAGAGGAGATGAGAACACACAGTGATTACAAGACTTTTAGCCTCTGGGCATAGCCAATTACATGCTAAGGGGAGGACAGAAGAAAACACACACACACACTCACACATGGACAGGCAGCAGATGAAGTGGTTTGCCCTCTGATCTCACATTGATCAGCGCTATGTAAGATGAAAGGATGAAGTGCGGTGTGCTGAAGCGTGGTGACCGCTGTAGCTGAAACCACAAGCCCACAGGCAGACACACACTGAAGAATGGGGCTTGTCATTAAAGAGATAGCCAGGGCCAAGACTGTTATTTTCTACCTTTATTAACAAGTAATGACAGGAGACTCAAAGCAGAGCAGAGCTCATAAGAGAGGGACTGGCTGCAGGGAGCAGCCACTGTTTCTGTGCTGAGGAGAGCTTTCAATGCACAGCAGAAAAACAAACAGTTTCGAATGTCTGCTCGTCATCGGTCATATTCAGGCTGCCTTGATAAACTGAACATGACTTTTAGGTCTCAGAAGCCTAAGTGAATGTGCATATTGAAGCTTTACACTTGTAGTCTGTCTCTCAGTCTTCACATACTGGCAAATACTGTTGTGTTGAGCAGAGGGAGAGGACACATTGATAAAAACAGACTGTTTTACTAAGAATGTAAGAGCTGACAGCGTGCTGCCATTTTAAAGCAAAGGTTTGACATTTTGAGAGTTGAAAGATGACAACATATCCTGCTCTCATATCTGTGCGATGAAGCTACAGGCAGCAGATGGTGAGATTAGCTTAGCATTGAAACAGGAAACAGCGACTCTATGGAGCCAGAACAGTGACTTTAGATTCTGGCATTGAAAATTAAAATTTGGCATTGAAAACAAAAAGCTGAACTTAAAAGGGAGCTGTTATGGATCTGTTAAGAAGCTGGCTCAGGAAACACTGGCATTGAAACACTTGCATTTGAAAAAGTTGTATTGAGAACCTAATGCTCGTTCCAGCGGACCTCTGCCAAACCATCAGAACGTCAGGAAACTGAATAGAGACTGTGAGCGTAGAATAAATAAAGAAAGAAAGAAAACCGCAACTTGTCACTGGAGAGAAAACTGACTTGAAGAAAAAAATCAGGAGATTGTCACTGACAAAATCAAAACATCAAAATACATAAAATAAGACTGTAAATAAATAGTCAAAAAATAACAAGTGTGTTGCATTCAATCTTTAATGGAAGATTGGATTATTTCTTAAATGCCTGTGTTGAATGTTTCAGTTAGAGTCCCTGTGGAACAGAATTTAGAGTGTCTTTATCTTCCGTACTGTCATAGGCGGATTATGACTCAATTGGTCCCTGGGCCTGGGAGTGTTCCTATTGGCCAAAGTGACGGCTGTGACAGGAGAAGTCGTGACCAACAAAAAGAAAATGAAACATGCTAGACTACTGTTGGAACGTTGTGAGGCGTCCCAGGGGCTGCGTCGATTGTCATATTCTATGACACACTACACAAGATGAAATGATGGATTTTTGCGTATGACACTCATTGTCGTTCACGATCCATGTCGACACCATACGTCGCTGCGTCGGGCTATAATTGGGCTGATATTGTGTATCGTGTTTTTCTCTCTTGTGACTTCTTCAAAGCAAATTCTTAGGCTTTTCCTTGAATTTTTTTTTTTCTATTTTAGGACATAAGGGAAGGGAACTTGACTATTGCACGCAATGTTTTTGTAAGCTATTAATAACTTGAAGGCTGTGGGTAGGGCCACATCACATTGCATCATTGCTACACTTGCGAGCTGCGGATAGCCGTCTGCAATTCATCCCACCTGCTCCTCATCAAGCATCTGATTTAATTGCTTGAAAGGGGTAAATGATGGCACTGAGGACACTCTATCTCCTTTAATTTCCTCCACCAGTTTACAGGTAAAAAGACTGATTTAAAGACTTGAATATTATATTATATTTTCAAATGCAAAAATGTCCAGGGATTTTTTTCTGAGAGGGTTAATAAAAGCATTTTTCATTTCATCTCAACTTTTTTTTATTGTGCCAATACAACCTTTTTTGGATACAAGTGTTTCAATGCCAGTGTTTCTTTTCTCAGTTCAGGTTTTGTTTTTAATGCCAAATGTTATGTTCAGTGCCAAAATCTAAAGTTACTTTGTTGGCTCCATAAAAGTCTGGCTCTGCTCAACAGTAACAAAATCGGGAGCGTATCTATGTTTCCCGGGTTCTATGTTCCCCATTTAACCCTGCAAAATAGGTTCTATGTTCCCCCCTTACACAAAGAAGGTTCTATGTTTCCCGGGTTCTATGTTCCGGGCTCAACCAAGCGGGAAACATCGAACCCTTTTTGTGTAAGCGGGGAACATAGAACCTTTTTTGCAGGGTTAAGTGGGGAACATAGAACCCGGGAAACACAGAACCTGGGAAACATTGGGATGACCCCACAAAATCTGCACTCCAGCACCTCTAAAACTTACACATTAATATCTCAATTGTGTAAAAACAAGAATTTGTTACGTGTGCTGGACAAATATTTAAGTTTTACATTTTACAGTTTGAACATGCTAGTTTCCATTGAACAGAGCCAGGTTAGCTGTTTCCCTGTCTCCAGACCTTGTGCTAAGCTAAGCTACGTTAAGCTAACGGACTGCTGGCTGTAGCTACAGACAAACATGAGAGTGGTGTCAATCTTCTCACGTCACTCTCCCCCAGAGAGCGTAGAAGTGTATCTCCCCAAATGTCAAACTGTTCCTTTAAACAACAAGGCACACTTATCATGTCTGGTTCAAAGAAATGTTGGAGGATAAATAAAAATACTGCGTTGCAACATTGGTCTGCTGTTTGAAAGGCGACGGCTAACACTCCTGTATATTTTCTCTGATTTTCCTCAAAAAGAGTAAAACAGTTTAAATTGTTAACTAAAGGTGACATAATATACAATGTGTTATTGTAGATACTTGATGTGCTATACTGCAGTATTTACATATAAAGGATTCAAACCGGGTAAGAAAGGAAGCATACATTTCTTACCTTAGTTCTAGCTTCACATTTACGTACATGGTGAAATCGTGTCGTTTTGAAAATTACCAGCCAAGTACAGATACATTTTTGTTATATATATGAACATGTTTCATTTGTATACCCATCAGAAGAGTTTATTTATCTACATGAATATTTATGAAACAACATTGTTGCTTTGCAAAACTCTAGACG